CAATTCAAGAAGCAGCAAGAAACGAAGAAAGGAAAAAAGGAAAATGAAAACGAGCAAAAGAATCAAGCGGAGCAGAGAACTTCGTTCCCATTTTGCGTTTGTTTATCAAGAGAATGAAATGTCTGTCCGGGTTAAGCTTCGACGCCATGTTGCCTTTGCGAGCGCGAAAGTTGCAACTTGGGCAACCGAGTGGAAAAAAGTGGAAAAGGGAAAAGAGAAAAGAAAAGAGGGAAAGAGAATTGTAGAAAATAAAACCGATGAAAACGTGCGAAAGCAGAGCGTGCGCGAGTTACTTGGTGATTAATTTGCCGAAACTAATTAGTCTCTCTCGTCGTTGTTGGCGAGTTCTCGCGCCCTTGTTCTCTCGTTCGCGACGCACGAGGAGGAATCTCTCTGATTCGGCGCGGATTCGTTCGCCACAGAACGTCTTTCTGCTCGGTCTTCGATTTCGATTATGGATCGTCGGGAGTCGCTGGTTCGTCGATTTCCTCCCTGTGGTTTCTCACGCCGGAAATCGCGTCCGACGGTGCCATTGCCGGCCAATTCACCGACTAATCGATTGGTCTTCAGTCGATGAGCGGTGTGCAAGCAATTTTCGGCCAATAAAAAGAAAATGAAAGAGGACGAAAAACGGCGACTCTCGCGACGCGTGTGCACCGAGGAAAAAACTGCTTGAAAAACTCTTTGCTCTTGTTGGCGGAGAGTGAGAGAAAGAAAATGAAAACGAAAAGAATATCTGTTATTTATTTCCATCTGATTTTCATCTCGTTCGTCTTTCCATTTCTTGGTGGTGCACGAGGGACGAGAAGATCGAGGTAACACGCGATCGAGGGAAGCTAGGAACATGAATAACGTGTCTTTCAATTCACTACCGTACTGCCAATTTTTCCGATGCGACGCGTAATAACTTTAAGAAGAGTTTTAAGGCGAGACGAACCGGCGCGACGAGCGATACGATCCGTGTCTGTACATAACGTTCGTCCGCCCCTCGTTTTACTTTCGTCGCTCCGAAGTCCTGACGGAGGACCACCCCGCGATGTTTCCGGAGGGACGCGTCACCAGAGGGTCTGCCTTGTACTAATCGATAGTTTTTCATTTGCCACGGCTTTGCTCATTGCATTTAAACCTTTCGCTGCCAATTCGAAATACGTGATACGTGGGAAAACTGTCTGGCCTGCAGATAACACTTCTTATCCTTTTTTTGGTACGATTATCGAGTAAAATTGGATCAATGACGTAATTTTAATTCGCTGAGCTTTAAAAATCGATCCTTTTACACGTATTAGATACGTACTATATATTACATTCCTTACTGTATTATTTATATTGTACAATTTGTGAGAAATACTGTTAAAATGTTTCAATGAGTGTTTCTTGTTATATGGGCAATTAAAAAAAAGAAAAGAAAGAAAGCACTCGTAATATTGACTTTAATTATATGAAATATTAATGTAATCCAGTCATATTTTTCACTGTATATCCACGAAACACTTTCTTTTTACACAAAAGTGTGTACGTGTGTTTCTTACAAAAAAAAAAAAAAAAAAAAAAAACACGTATATGAATATTTCTCATGAAACGCACAAAGTAATACTACACAGTTGGCGAGTCTCCGTACCGGAAGGGTTAACATTTTCGGAATCTACAAATTTCAACAATTCTCTAAACGATAAATAGCGCGTTCCAAAAGCAAAAGGAAAGAAAAAAAGAAAGAAAGGAATTCTGCGTTACTTTAAATTGAAACAAAACGCATCGAGCCGCTTTCGCTTTGTGTAAATGAAATCGGCGCAAAAGGAAAGGGAGCACTTTCGCCAGGCGCGCACAATCACAGTGGGGAAAGCGGCGCGAATTTTCCTGCGCGGCGAGATGAATCGAAAGGGAAATTCAATGAACCGTGGCACGAGCATCAGAGGCTGGCTGAATTCGAGCGGTTCGATCGATCAGCCGGCGTCGCTTCCGCTTTGTTTCGCGCCGATTAAAAGCGTCACCCTCTTCGCCGGTCCCTCCGGCGGACTTGCTTTTGCATCGTGAACGGGAAAAGCGATTCTTTTGTAATCAGGACACCGTCCACAGGACCTGCGAGCGTAGCAGGATCGACCAATGTTCCTGACACGCTCCAACCGGTGATTGCGATTCACACGCCGCGATTCGACCGGGAGATCGAACCGAAAGCCTCCGCGGATTCGTTTGGTTTGCCGTGAAATTTTCGACGAAAGCGTTCCCGAGGAACCGAGGGCTGGGAAATTAACTCTCGAAAACGTGGTATCGTCGCGGAGTCGTAGATGACTATGGTAATTCACGTTGGTTCGCTAAAATTTGATTTTAGGAACACTTGATTTTTCCTTTCGTATTTTTTCGTTCTCTATGACCGAAAATTCAAAAATTGAGTTCAACTCTTGGAGCTGGAACTACCTAAAGTGGTCGAAATTCGTAATTTTGAGAATTTTTATAGATTCACGGCTGCGCGTTTTTAGAGATTTCAATGATTGTTCGAAATAAACAAAATATATATATATATATA